CACCATTCCAAAAACATCCTGAATCCCTGAGTTGATTACATCATGCTGATAGAACTTGGATAACAGAAAGTTGTAGATAATATAGGTTTATTTTAAGGTATATGCATATTAAGGTGTAAGAGATAAATTCAAGAAGGCAGAATTTGTGACCTCAGTGAAGATTCTGGAAAGGCATGTAGCTCTACTTTGCAACGCCTACTACAAGGCATGGTAGTCTAATATCACAGATAATGTAGTTGATTTCCATATTCACATAGGTTTTCTAGGACCAATATATAGATAAACACAGAGGCATCCACTCATTCAACAAATACTAACAATCACTTATATTTCTGGCAGGGGCAGATTTACTGTGAAACTTATGGAACTTAAGCTTCAGGTTCTATCATTTTGTGCAGTAAAGAGTTTAACTTTGCCCAAGGTGAGGTCTGGACTTTGCCCTTGGCTATTGTGAGACAATCTCTAGGTCCATGGAATTTTCTACTTGATAAAATTATCTTTGCTTACATGAGGGCCTTAGGCCAATAAAGACAGTCTGACAATGATATCTCTGGGTCATGTGGTATTAGCTCCACATCTGGAAGGGCTAGAGGCTTAGATTAGCCACATGGGCAGTCATCCATGTCTGCGTGACAGAGCCCCAATAAAGACTCTGGATCCCAAAACTCAGGAGAGCTTCCCGGGTTGCCAATACTCCATGACTACTGTCACATTCTGTTGTCAGGAAAGTTATCACTGTCTGTGACTCCACGGGGAGAGAATAAGTGGAGACTCCAAATGTGGAACTTTCCTGGACTCTGCCCCATGTGTCCCTTCCCTTCACTAATTCATTGTAATAAACCATAACGGTGAGCATTAAGCTTTCAGTGAGATCTGTGAGTCCTTCTTGCAAATTATTGAAACTACAGGTGGTCTTGGGACACCCAAGCATTGGTATCAGAAGTGAGGGTGAGATTGTGGACTGTTTCCTACCTTTGCACACTTTCATGGAGCCCTTCCTCTTTCAGAGACCTTAGTATGGTGTTTGTTTCTGTAAAATTTGCAAAATATTTTTACACAAATTGGTTAAGATTGCTATATTTTTCTAATTTGCCTTCCCCTCCATGATACTATATGCAGGAGGGTCCACAGGAAAGTTGGAGTTAGTTCAAGTGAAATGGAGTTTGAGGATATGTTTACTTGGGATTCAGTGTATTTTGTAGTCTTTTCTATGAAAAGGTAAATTATTGCTAAGCATTTAGGGTTTAAATGACTCTCAGGACATTTCCTTCTACTTAGTGTGCTGTGTCACCTGGTGTTATTTCATTTACGTGGAAAGTCAGAGGTTTTAGCACAGTATGTATGTGTCTTATGTTACCTGGTACCGGAAATATGAATAGAGGGAAAAACTTGATTTGAAATGTTTAGTTGTGAGAAAGCAGTGTGTAAAAATTTCTCCTAATCTTCACACTTATAAACTTTTTAAGTGGAATATTCATTTCTTACCAATACTTAGCAAAAACAAGAATCAAAACATCATAATATTGATTACATACTCTATAATGATAAATGTGTGAGGTAGTGCTTTTTTTTTCATTTTTGATAGGAAACCACAAGGAAAGTTCACCAGAATTCCTGTGTGTGCAAGGCACTGAACTTTAACAGCACAAACACTGATTTTATCTGTTACAGCTAAAATTTGAAAACCAAAAATGCCTGAGAGAAATTTTCCCAAATTTAATAACAATATTAAAAACTTACTTGACATCAACAAAAACTAGTTGTGAAACTTTTGGAATTGATCTGCATGTAAATCATGATAAAAATATTTGATCAAACATATTAGAAGAAAGACTACCTTAACTTACTTTTCTCAGGATGGAAATAATCTTCCAAAATCATTTTTATAGGAAGAGGCAATCAGAGAGTATAAAGCAAAAATTAAGGATACATATTACAGAAGTATTTCAGAATGATGAGAGATTAAACTTATTTTTTGATTACTATAATGATTTTGATATTTGCCAAATTTATGTTTGGTGTGATAGTCTTCCTAATTGGAAATAAATGCACACTTTGTAACTTAATTTTGTATGTGCAAGAGTGTATTCTTCTTAAAAAAGCATCCCTACTTATTGAAGGTTCAGGCTGACAAAATGTGTACCATTCTAGATATCCACTCTAGAATGACACCAGGACTTTGTAAAGTATATTGACTGTGACATGAAGCTCTTAAGGTACTAATAATATGGCATTATGTATAAATCTTAATATTACTGAGAGGACAGTAATTTCAGTGACTGCTGTTACCTATTGTCCTGACTAGAAAGATAGACTTCTCATACAGGGGAGAGAATTTGTTGTACTAGTATGTAACATTTGCCTAATAAACATTGCTGAATGAGTCAATTTGATGAATTATTTTTCTGTCACCATTCACACAGTTCTTCTCTAAGAATAAAATTATAAGCATACAATAGCTTCCAGTCAAAAATTTTGAAGCAATATATGGTAATTAAATCTTCAGAAATCAACTATCTATCCAGCAACGAGTATGGATTTAGGTTCTCTGGATTTAAATACTGGATTCTATATATGCTAGCTGTGTAACTCTGGGTAAGCTATTTAACACTTTTACTTATATATAAACATGGGATACATAACGATTTAGAGTACAGGATGATCTTAAGGTTTAAATGAAGTGATGAATGTAACACTTTATATTTCACATGGGTAATTTCCAGATATTTTATGTATTCCCTATATATTTAGGCTGATGCTGTTTTTTCCTTCTTCTGCAATATTTTTCATAGTTCTATTTTTTCTTCCTTTTTATCAATCTTCAAAGCATGGAGATTTATCCAAGCTTAAAGTTTTTGAAAAAGATATCCTTTTTGTAACATATTTGATTTTTCTTTCTGCATATTGAAATTGTACCCATATAGGGTATATCAATGGGGATAATACTTGTGCAAATTTTAGCTGAAATTACTATGTGAGATAGCTTTCCTGTAGAATTCTTCTGATGGACCAAGGAATGATACTCTCTTATCCTGCCCCATTATCTGAGCCTTTTCTAAGCAGATAGAATTCGATCTTTGACATTTATTTTATGAAGGCTTTTCTTAACAACTTTTCTGAAATCCTAAAATTCAACAGTACATTCCATTTTGTCCTTTGTCATTTCATTTTCAATTGTCTTCTGAAAGCTATAGCCTCCTGCTAGAAAAAGGGGAGGAAAATATATATATGAAAGTCACAAATATGGCAGTGGGTTTGTGGATAGGAATGTAGAAAAAGTGAATATCCCAAGAAGGTGCATTTATGCAAAGAGGTACAAATTCCCAGGTATCTAGTTTGTGAAACACTTGCATTTCTGAGCCAGGGGACAAATAATCAGGGGGGCCTTTCCCTGGCTCTTTTTGTTTGTTTGTTTTTTTGCGGTACGCGGGCCTCTCACTGTTGTGGCCTCTTCCGTTGCGGAGCACAGGCTCCGGACGCACAGGCTCAGCGGCCATGGCTCACGGGCCCAGCCGCTCCGCAGCATGTGGGATCTTCCCGGACCAGGGCATGAACCCGCGTCCCCTGCATCGGCAGGCGGGCTCCCAAACACTGCGCCACCAGGGAAGCCCTCCCTGGCTCTTTAACAATCCTGCTCTGTTGCTGTGAGTATAGTACATAAATTTCATTTTTGTTGGTAGTAGAACTTCCACCTAGTGCTTACAAGGAGCTTTTGATGATGTTTACATCGATCCTGAGGTATTATTTCCTAAGCCTAAGATTTATATATAAAAACAGAAGTCTTGAGCCTGTATCTTAACAGCATACTGGGTAGAATTTGGAGGTAGTTTTGACCTCTAAGGAGTAATCCATAACTAAGTTTGTCCATGCAAAATGAAGAAAAGTGTAGTCAAGTTATGGTAAAGGAAGGTAGAACAATTCATATTCATAAAACACCACTTGTGTTTTAGACACAATATATATAAATTCTTTCTACAAAATTTTCATTAAATCCTCATTATCCTCTAAGGAAAGTGTCATTCTTTCAAATTTACATAAAAGGAAGCTAAATAGATTGGCCTAAATCACATAGCTTTTAAGTTCTGGTGTTAGAGTCTGACACTAAGTAACTGTTGTGCTAAAAGTAAACATTAGAATGTTGCAGGGAAGCAAGTCAGTAATATTGAGAACAGAAAGCACTGAAAATGATAGACCATAAGTTGTAACCTTGCTAGGAAGGAATATTTAGACAGCTCACAGTATTGTTAACATTTAAACATTCAACATAAACGCTGCCTCCCAAAAAGACATTAAACTTAAACTCTATTGCCCCTACTCTCAAAAATGATATAATATTTTCAAAGAATTTCATATTAAATTGCTATGTTTTTAATCAAAGTGTGAGAACACCTTGGAGATTACAATAATTTCAACAAATTTTCTTTACTTCATGAAACTGATTTCATGTTTCCTCCTTTTAAAACAAATTTGAATGCTATATGATGAAGTCTATTTTCTAATGCAGAACCTTTTCAAAGGATGATCTCCCAGGGAGAAACAGCTCCAGGAAGCAATCAACCTTTCTATTTCAGGCAATCTACATTCATGCTTTGGTATAGAGAGGGGCGGATGCATCATCTCCCTGAAGTACCTGAAATAGAGGCTGAAGAAAATATTTAGATGCCCTGAGACACTCATATGAAGTCACAATATAAAATTGGTATAATTTCTCCTTGTTGTTTTTCTTCTAAAGTTTTAGGCATTATATTACAACTGCTGAAATATATTGTAAATAGTTAATATATTGTAAATAGTAAATATATTGTAAATAGTGCAAGAAAAAAAAACCCGCAATGTTATGAAAGACGAACTTAAACTCTTTTTTCCCTAACTCAACCACATCTGTCTGAGATTGTCAAGGTGCATAAACTAGGATATCTGATATTATTTCCTATTTCATGAGCATTTAAAAACAATGTATACATGTACATAAAGAAGTGTAACTTAAAGATCTTTTTTCACTATGAAAATGCTTTACTGGTGGCTTCTGTACAGCATGTGATGTTAAGACAGAAAGAAGGGCAAGTGCCCAGGCAGGGTGACATGGCTATCAGAGAACAGGCTGTGAGTGAAGAGTTCACATAACTTCCGTGCTTTCCAGGTAGCTGACAGCTCCAAGCCACCTCCTCAAACTCAGCCTCATCCTCAGCCACGGGGTCCTGGTACTGCTGGTACTCGGACGCCAGGTAGTTCACCTCGCTCTCGGCCTCAGTGAATTCCATCTCCAGTGCAGGAAGGCCTTGCACCTGAATATGGCCCTGAACTGCTCCCAGACGGCTTGAACAGCTCCAGGATGGAGGGCGCTCTTGCCAGTGAAGGTGGCCAGCATTTTTAGCCCCTGGGGTAGGATGTGACAGACAGCTGTTTTCACATTGTTGGGAATCCACTCCACAAATTAGCTGCTGTTTTTGTTTTGGGTGTTAAGTGTCTGCTCATTCACCTCCTCCATGGACATGCAGCCCCTGAATGTGGCTCTTTTTTATACTTTTATGCCTTTAAACAGGATTTCACTGTTATTTTAATACGGTTTCTGTTCACTTTATTGTAATTCGGTTGTGATGTATTTAATTTTAATTTTATTACTATTACTATTTGTTACACTGTAAAATCATCATTTCCAGAGGCTTATTTCCGATATGATATGAAAATATTGACTTTTAAAAATATTTATACAAAGCAAATAGTAAAAAATATTGTACAATTTCTAATTTTTTTTAACTAGAATCTGTTTGTTGTAGACATACAAAAAGAATTGTATATATATGCAATTTACTGTTTTTTTTTTTATATTTCTCTCTTAGCCTTCAAGGTAGAACCTCCAAATTAATAAACAAAAGTCATGATACAGAACTTTAGAACTGTATCTAATATTCTTCTAAGTATATTTATTGAGTTATTCAATTCAATTCTTGACATTTTAGCTGTAGGATTTTTATTTGATTATTTTTTCTAAATTTTCAGTTTTCTGCCAAATATTTCATTTCTTCTTTTAATACCTTGTCTATATTTATTGTGGCTTTTTTGATCTTGTCTGACTATTAAATTATCTGCATCTACTTTGGATCTGTTTATATTTTTTGTATCTTCTTTGGGTTTACAGTCAGTACAGTCTGTAGATTTTCTCTTTATTTTTGATTAAGTGGAAAATATTTTTATGGGAAAAAAGGTAGAGATTTTTGAGGCCTCAAATTGTACCATCTTCCTCCACAGATTTATTTTTGCTCCTGGCATGCCTCTTGGCTTCGCAAGCCCAGACCATCACAAAACAGGAGTCAGCAAACTTTGTGTAAAGAACCAGAATATATTTAGGCTTTGCGTGCCATGAGACAATTTCCTCAACAATCTGAGCAACGGTTTTTGCCAAAAGGCTGAAAGTTTTTTCTACATTTACATTTAAAATATTAAATGTAAAATATTACTAAATGTAAATATTATTCTTAGCTTGTGAACTGTACACAAATAAGTAGTGGGTCCAATTTGGCCTGCGGACCATTGTCTTTCATATTTGCCTTATAGCAAAAATTAAGATGCTTCTAAACTGGGATTTAGACCTCGTAAGGGTTGGCTTTTATCCACTTCACCCTGACTCACAGAAGAAAGCTTTGTGGTCCTACACTAAAAATGGATTGGTTAATAGGGCACTTCTCTTTGTTATGCCTTCATTTCCAATTTTTTCTTTTCCACCAATTCTCTTGAGTCTGTTGTCAACATATTTGCTCAACCACATGATCTCTTATGAACTACTTTAAGAATTCGCAATTGATTTCAGGGAAAATGTAAAACTTAGCTACCTTCTCTGGTCTTTCTTATTATCTTCCCCAGGTAAACCCCCAACGCATTATTAGCACTCTGATGCAATCAAACAAATTGTTTGTATGTTTTAATATTTAGCCTGATTGTTCTAATTGTTCTTGGAGGGACAATAACAGAAGCAACCTTTTTTTCCTGTGGACTGAAAACAGCCACGTACACTTATTCTTCACAGGAGAAAAAACCTCTCACATAGATCATTTTATGTTAATAAACTTCTACTGACTCACTTCAAGATTTCACCAAATATCTGAAAAGAAATTTAAATATTACTATTCTTATAATTAGGAAAACATAAAATAGATAACCCACACTTATTCTGGGCTCCCCAACCCCTTCACAATTAAGATAACTATCTATTTTCTTAAACATTAGATAAACATCTCCCCCTCCTCCTTACTCACAAAAATATTCATGTACTTATACACAATGAAGCCATCCAAATTCGGGGATGATTATATATTGTCTTAAAATATGTATCTTTGCATATTTACTGATCATCATAAGTCAAACTATTAGGCATGCCCTCAAAATAATATGATCAATCAGTAATAACCAAGATTTGTATGCTCACAGAGTGGTTATATTTCCTAAAAGTCTCATTTAGAACTCACGTAGTTGAGACCTCATTTTGCTATTATTCTTCCAATAACTAGTCTTCAACTTTTCTTACCCAACTCTAGTTTGTATTTTAATAAAATTTCTTTCTAAGTGTCCTCCACTATATTGTTGTAGATTTTACCATTCTCTCCAGGACAGAGATACATATGTATTAATCTGTTTTAATAAATATCTCTCCTAAACTGACTGAATCTATTGAGCCACCATGCTTAATCAATTGGCAGACTGTTGCAACAAAGCACTGGCTGGAATTGATATGTCAGCTAAATAATTTTAATTATTTTACTTAAGTCATAATTATAGACCATCATATTATTTAATTATCACAGTCAGTATCCAGATTACTTAGAGTGTGCTTGAGTTTTTAAATTTCATCATCTAACATAAGGCAAAGACATTATAGTATTTATATCTGCATGAAATCTGAACTCTATAAACATTCTTTTTCTAAATTCTTTGATCTCCTAATCACAGTTGAGAGAGGAAATGACAGATATTGATTAAACACTAATAGTATTTGATAAGATGCTCTGGCTTGCATATAATAACATACTTTACTCAGATTTGCCTATGTTCTAAAATAAGATGTGTATTATTCTCCTATTACTAGGTCTCCTTTCAAGATGAATCTTAATATTTTTATATCTTCTTTTAATTTGAAAAATTCTTAAAATTTTGCTTATGCTAGCCCTAAGAGCTCAGATAATTGTGTCCTGCGGTTTGAATCCAGCATTGCTAACTCTTTGGCAATGCGTGAGCAAAAGGGGATATGACAAGAGGATTGTTCTACATCTCCCATTTTTCATAGGATAACTGTGTGAATACAGGGAAGGTAAAAGGGGAATGGGGAGATTCATTTCCAATTTTATTTATAAGTACCTCCTGATATTACTGAATAGAAATCTATAGCATAGCTTCTCAAATGGAAGGGAGGCAGTGAGGAAGTAGAGGAAGATCATTAGTCAACTCTAATATTTTTTAAACACACACAGTGGTTACTGGAGGGTTATCAACATCCAGATGGGGGAAAGGGGAGAGGGTATCATATTCGTTATTTATAAAAAAAACCTCTTAGTTGATTATCATATGCCCCAACCTAGTTAAGACTCATTGTTCTACTAGAAGAAACAAGGGCGACTGCATTTTTATTTCTTCTTGAAGGGACTAGATATAAATATTTATGAATAGCAATATGCAAAATAGATAAATGTCTTTACAAGGAAAAAGGTCTTGATATAAATCCTTGTTAAGAAATACAAGTAGAATGATGTTGAGCAAAGTAATCTTTCTGAACCTCATAAAAATTTTTGCAATGATTACCACATGAAATTTTTATTATATAGTATATGTAATATATATTGAAAGTTACTACATATACATATATATAGTATTCATCACACAGTAGGAACACAATATGAAGTCATAGGATATTTTCATCAAAATAGTTTATTAATTATTAGACTACTTTATATATATAAATATATGTACATATTTTATATATATACATACAAATATATACATTTGACGCTCATGGATTGCTTGAAGGATAGATTATGCATCTTAAAATATTCCTGGATTTTTAAAATTGTTGGGGTCAAAGACATGGCCATTACCTTCTTCTGCATGGTAAGCAAATAGGGAGTTGTTCCTTTTGCGGTTAGATATAAAACATAGAATTTCTTTGGTAGCCAAGTATATGCATGAGACTCTTGTGGGTCATCGTTGAGCATGAAAGCGAAGCAGCAGGGATTGAATGTTTTTCAGCATTCACACAATCCTATTTAGAAATTAGAATTAGTGAATTTGGTCATTAATTTCTCTGCTCTCCCTGCTGCTGCAGGATCTCAAGACCTGAAATCTGCTGTGTGTTAGGCAATGTCAAAAACTCCCTTACATGATGTAATGTAGTGTAATGCTTTCTCTGAGTTTTGTAATGACTTGCATTACATTGTCTACAGAGAAATAGACTTAGTAATGTGGAAACATGGATATCTTCCCCAAATCTTAGATACTAAGAAAGAGAAGGTATTTCTTTTCACATTAATATTCTGTCAGAAAAACTACTATACACAAGTGCAAGGATTTTTGTTTTTTAGCAAATGTAAAATCTGAAAAATAAATTGGCAACCGCATACATATGAGAAATACAGACTGCTTTATTAAATTATCTTTTTAAAGATAGAATATTTTAAGTATGTCATGACTTTAATACATTTAACACCAAATTCTATTTAATCCAATTAATTATATTTATTAGATGTTTAAATGAGCAAATATATTTATATGATTCTCCTAGTAGAACATTTTGCTGAATCCTAAGCAAAATACGAAAGTAAGCAGAACAACTTCTTTTCTAAAGAATGTTATGTTCCATAAGAAGAAAGGTGACATAAACAACCCACATTCAAAGGAGGGAATAAAATATATCATGAGAGAACCCAAAGTGCTCCTGAAACTGAATGAAACAATTCCATTTTCAAGTGAATCTGTCTACACAGAAGAGATTGTGACAGTCACAACTCTGATCCCCACTCTGTTTTCTGGGATGCAGCTTTTCTGTAAAGCATTCCTCTATTAAGGGGTTTTGATTTGTCCTTCAGGGTGTGCAGTGGGTTTTGTTGATGATGCCTCACTCACTCGGGAATCTATTCAAATAATACTCCCCATCTTAATAGAATGCACTTTCTAAACGATTGTAAACACACACACACAGAGAAATTCACTCATAGAATATTGCCTTGGAGAATACCTTAAAAATAAGAAAAATGTTTTTATCATTATAAAAGTCACCAGGATTTGGTTTAATCTGGGAGGTTTATTCCAGTTGATTAATACATTTATGTCAACCAAAAGTCTTCTACTTAGGTAGGTAAAAACATGTCTATGATCTCTATTTACTAAGATGGACTCTGGTTATGGTAAGAAGACTTTTTATGCAAATGACTACATTCCTGTTATTATTGAAGTCATGGACTTTACATTTCTATCTTTTCCACCTAATTTTGGGAAATGCAAATGCATGAT